TGTAAATATTTCTGGTGTAGACTAAGGAGAGAAGGCAGAATTTTTGTTTTCTATGGACAACGGCCATTTTTTTCAAACAACAAGGACCTTTTTTTTTAGATAGTAATAAGACCCGCCTGTCAATGTGATGCATTCCTGGTATGAAGCTATACATATTTCTCCCTCATTTCAGGTATAGACATTGTCACCAGGAACTTGGCCAAATTTGTTAAGCCTCAGAAGGTCATAGAACAAGATGGAGACTCCTTCATCATCCGGACACTCAGCAGCGTGCGCAGTTATCGGGTCCAGTTTACCCTGGGACAGGAATTCGATGAAGACACCAAAGGCCTGGATAACCGAAAATGCAAGGTATGACAAGTGGGAAGATGATTACCTGAGCTACAGGTAGATCAGACAAGCCTGCAGACATGCTTCAGAGAATGACCCTTGTTCCCCGTGGAAGCAGTGGTCTCTCTACAGAGGTCTAATTTCTAGGTACATCAGACCTGCAGCTCAGTTTGCACTGTCTGCTTAATTGAAATCTCCATCTAACTCCGCAGTGGGTTTGTTGGATCTCTCCAGAGCGCGGGGGTCCTTCTCTGCAATATGCTGGCAGAGAACAGGCTTTTCTACATGGGCTGTTTTTCTAAAGTACCGTAATCAAACTTTGAGGGCCTATTGATGACCTGTCCATGGTAATGCAACACATTTTACTGCATGAAACTATATTTAAAGTAGAAATCCTTTCCTTTGTGCGGTTCACATCTATGTGCTGCAGTCTAGTATATTCTGAAGGGGCAACTATATGGGCCCGTTCACACCCAGTCTAAAGCCTGGTGTACACCTATGCATTTTGCCAAAATGCATTAGTCCATTTAACATGGTTTTCTATAGGTCATGTTCACAATCTGTGTGGGGGTTTTTTTTTTTTTTTTTTTTTTTGGGGGGGAGGGAGGGGTCAGGGAGCAAAAAAAACGCACCCAGAAAATCTGCATAGGTGTGAACCAAGCATAAGTCTTTGAACAAATTTTGTCTTCTGAGAACTTAAAATGTGTTTTTTGCTTTACCCCAATTCCCCCCTTTGTTTGGTTTTGCAAAAGACACCATGAAATCAGGGGCGGACTGACCATTTGGAAACTCGGGCACTGCCTGAGGGTCTGGGGTCAGTAGGGGGCCCCATGAGATGCCCCTGGTAACTTTTTCATAGGCTTTTTTTCTTGATTTTGGGCAAGGACACAGGGGCCCCATGATCCCCTATTGCCTGGGGGCCCTTTGAGTTGTCAGTCCGCCCCTGCATAAAACTATGATCACAACATCTTATGCAGGCGCGAAAAACGCACAATGCAGGAGTGTTTTCAGTACCTTTAAACAACCAGCAGGTGACAGTCTAACACCAATAAACTTGTTCACACCAATGCTGGGGTTTTTGTTTTTTATTTATTTAAATTATTTTTCTTTTCTACAGTGGAGAAGCTGCTAAAATGCATGATAGTGTATTGTTTTGCATTCTTATTCTGCCCAGCAATAGAAGAAAAAAAAAAATACTCTTTAACCAAACCCTTGTAGAAAAATGCAAAACTGACAAGGCAACCTGTATAGGTGTGAATGGAGCCTTGACTATATTCAAACCTATGCAGTTTGAAGTCTAGAACCGAAAACGCAACTTTTTTTTTTTTTTTTTTTTTTGTATTAAAAAAAAAATATAAAGACCCTGATCCTTCCCAAAACGCAGAGATGTGAACCTGTCCCATAGGAAATCATGTTAAATCGACTGCTGTGCGTTTCTGGAAAACGCTTTGGTGTGAACTTCTATCAGACCTCTCCACTTTGGCACACTGTATGGACCACCTCCATGGTAGTCTGCCTTCTGGTTTGCTTGATTTCTGTTTGTTTTTTGTTGTTTTTCACTTGGCGGACATTTTTCATATTAGTGTTGGTACATTTCTGGCAGCTATCCTTAATTGAAATAAAGGAAATAGCATAAGCTGCATTATTTAAAACAAATGATCAAATTATATATAATGCCTCCCTTTTTGTTTCCCTGAGCAGACTCTGGTCACTTGGGACAATGGACGACTTGTCTGCGTTCAGAAAGGAGAGAAGAAGAATCGGGGTTGGGTCCACTGGCTGGAAGGAGATGATCTGCATCTGGTATGTACATGCTGCCTTCTAGCCTAAACTTCTCATTGATGGACATTTGTTGTCTTCCCACATAATGCTGGTTCTTTGTCAAGGTGCCATTTTAGGGCAATAGCTATAATTGGGAGTCTTCTTTTTTGCTCTGGTTCCTTTAAAACACAGTACAGAGGTTGTATTATGACGTAGCTGGCCTTCTCCTGAAACACTAGTTGGCTTTCCACCACTGTCCTGAATTTAGTCTCTGCTCTGGAACAAGCATATGGCAAGTGAAGTCAGAATTGCAGCTCTGAACAAGCCTGGGGCAAGTGAAGTTAGTGTTTATCTTTTAATTCTTTCCAATTCACCAAATATCCATAAGATGGGGAAATCTATAACTGCCAGGCAAGCAGCAATTTGGAATGAGTGGACAACTTTGTAGCCTACATGGTCCCACAAGGCAGGCTCTCCTTTAAAGCGGCAATATGTCATGATGGGATGGATAAACTGCACTGAATGTTTAAACCAGGGTTCCTCCAGAGGTTGCTAGGGGGTTCCTTGATTTTTGGCTTGTCAGATGAGCAACCTCTAATCTCTTGTATTGTCTCCCTCCATAATGTAAAGCGCTGAGCAAACTGGCACTATATAAGTTCTGTATAATAATTTTTTTGCCTCACTTGTTCTGACTTGGTATTAAGGCCTTTGGATCATAACAGCCAGGCAGCTAGTATTTTCAAAAGGAGTTCAGTAATGGCCACAAGCTGTCTAACTACATGTCGTGTGTTTTTTTTTTTTTTTTTTTTTTTTTTTTTTTTTTTTTCCCCCTTCTTATGAACCTTCAAATGGCCCAATGAATCAGTGCAGTCCAAGAACATTCCCCCCCACCCCCCGTCTTGGACTGCACTGATTCATTGTAATCTGTTAATGCCAGTCTTGGAGTTCCATTCCAATGTGTGGGTGCAGTGAGATGTAAGTAGGTTGCTGTTGGTATGCCAGGAAAAACGCCATGCTGGAATATGGAGAGGAGTGGCTGCAGCTGTTGGGATTTCTTGTTCAGCCTGTTAATTCCATCACATACAAAGCATTGCATAGAATCTGCCCTGACCGACCTCGGCAACTGTCACCCCACACACAGCACACGTGACTAATAAATGCCATACCGTCCTAGTCACACTCCAGATGCAAAACAAATAATGTTGGCTACATTGGTGAGACATTTTTATAAGTAGATCCTCAGGGCAACATTACAAAGACACAAACAAAAGCAGGTAGCAGAGTCCATAGGAAGCCAGATAAGTGTGGTGGTGGCTAGGGTGTTTGGTTTTTTTTAAAAAAACAAAAACAAAAAAAAAAAAAAAACCCAACTGAGCTGGCCAGAACTAACTCCTGAAGGAGTCTATTCCACATTTTCACAGCTCTCCCTGTGAAGAAACCTTTCCGTGTTTTGGAGATTAAATTTATTTTCCTCTAGACTTAGAGTGCCCCCTTGTCCTTTGGAGAGCTATTCACCCTGAGGTCATCAGAGTTCACTACATGAACCACTGATGTATTTATACATGGAGATCATATATTCCCCCCCCCCCCCCCCCATGTATTCTACATGGAGATCATATCCCTTCCCCCCCCCCCCCCCCCCCCCCTTATGTATTCTCCTCCAAGACTTAGGAGAATAAATTCAGTTCCTCTAATCTTTCCTCATAGCTGAGCTCCTCCATGCCTCTTATCAGTTTGGTTGCCCTTCTCTGTACTTTCTCCAGTTTATTTTTGTGAATTGGAGCCCAAAACTGAACCTCCTATTCCAGATGAGGTCTTGCTAATGATTTGTACCGGGGAAAATCTCTCTGGCGTCTATACCTCTCCTAATACAAGAGGATTTTGCTTACTATTAAGCTTGTGATCTATCAGATCCTTCTACACCATTGATTACCCCAGTTGTACACCCCCCCCCCTCCCCCATTATGTATGATGCATGCATATTTTTTAGCCCCCAAGTGCATAACTTTACATTTTATCAACATTAAACCTCATTTGCCACATAGTTGCCCAATTACACAGAGCATTGAGGTCAGCCTGTAAATTGGAGACATCCTGTAAGGACATTATTCCATGGCACAGCTTGGAGTCATCTGCAAAGACTGAAATGGGATTTTTAATCCCAGACCCTATATTGTATGTGTATGTACTGGTCCCAACACTGAACCTGCAGTTTTCTATCCATTTACATACAGATTTTTCCAAGCCTGCAGACTTTACCTTAAACATTAGCCTTGTGTGGGGAACTGTGGCAAATGCTTTTGCAAAATCCAAGTATACCACGTCCACAGCCACCCTTCTATCCAAGGTTTTGCTCACCTCCTCATAAAAAGAAATCCGATTTTGTTTGACAACTTCTGTTTTTCATGAATCCATGCTTTCTGTTGCTTTAAAATATTTTTTCAAGCAAGAACTCATCTATGTGGTGTGGGGGGGGGGGGGGTTATATGGACATCCATAATAAACTCTGCATGGTTTGAGATTACCAGGTCCAGCAGAGCATCATTCCTAGTTGGGGCCTCTATGAACTGAACCATAAAATTGTCCTGTACTAGATTTAAAAATTCCTGCCCTTTTAACACTTGCTGCAGTACCATTACGCCAGTCAATTGCCAGGTAGTTAAAATCCCCCATTATCACTGTTGCATCCCTTTTGATTTGTGCAAGGAGCGGAGTCTCTACCTCCTCATTAACACTGGTAGGGCCTGTAACAAACTCCAATGATTACCTTTTGTGCAGTTCCACCCATAATACTTCAGCCTCATCACACTCCATCAACTAGGTCCTCTTTCACTGCACTCTGAGATCACTTCTCACATAGAGACAGACACCACCACCTTTCCTCTTCCCCCCCCCCGTCTCTCCAAAAGAGAACATAGCCAGGAATATTAATGGCCCAGTCATGTGAAGAATGAAGCCAAGATTCAGCAACACCAATTAAATCCTAGTTCACCAAAGCTTCCAACTCTCCTAATTTTGAGTGGCAGACTTCTGGCATTGGTGAACAAACACTTTACTTCAGTGACACTTTTTTGCATATTTTTTATTTTTATACAAATGGTACCAATTCCACTGGTTGTTTGTAACATGGGAACCTTATCTGCCATAGTCCTGACCCCTGTCTGATCTGTCTACACCGTTATAATCTAATTCTCCCTCCCCCCCCCTTGATTCTACTTTAAATACTCCTCCAGCCTTCCCACAAACCTTTCCCCCAGCACAGCAGACCCCCTTCCATGTAGGTGCAAACTATCTCTAGCATATAGGTTTCACCCCAATGAAAAGTCAGTCCAGTGCTCTAGAATGTAAATCCTTCCCTCTTACACCAGGTCTTTAGCCATACATTGGGTTCTCTAATCTCCCCTTGTCTTTCCAGAGTTTGGCATGGCACAGGATATCACCTTTTTGGAGGTTCTTCCCTTCAACTTGCAGCCTAGTTATTTAAATTGATTCTTAAGGACCCTCCACCTTCCATGTATTCTGTCATTAGTTCCAACATGGACCAGGACAGCTGGGTCATGCCCAGCCCCTCCCAGTAATTTATCAAATCCGTCCACCACATGCTGATCCTTGGCCCCAGGGAGATGGCAAACCATTCAGTTGAGGCGATCCTGGCGACAAATTATCAGTCCTTCTGTTTTATAGAATCCCCTACTACCACCCGCTGTCTAGGCCTTCCTGCACCACCCCTCCCAGGCGGTCTGCCCTCCCAGCTGTTGGGGATAGCAGTGACATCCAGGGCTGCCACCCTTGAGCTTGCCACCCCCACATCTTCACCCAACTTCGCAAATCTGTTTTGGGTGCACAAACCCAGGGCCAGCTTTCCTTTTCTGTGAGCCCCTACCACTCCCTCTGGTTTCAGTAACCCATCTTCCTACCTGTTAATCCTGATTAGCCCCTCCACATCAATCACATTAGCTACCTGCTCAAAGAGCAGAAGACCCCTTTCAAGGTTGCCGGTTGTGCCTAGTGTTGCATCTTGCTCCTCCAGATCTCTAACGTGAGTTTCCAGAAGGGCAACCTGACCACATCTGTTGCAGTGGTATCCATCCTGGAGCTGTTGCTGCATACATGTGGTGCACTGCACAAAACCTTCCACCCTGCTATCACTCATTATCCCAGTTACAATTTATTAATAGGAAATATCAGTTGTCACTTACAGGTTAGTAGACTCCCATTATAACTTCCTGTTTTCCACTCTGTTTTTTTTTTTTTTTTTTTTTTAACTCCTTATCAAATGTCCAGTTAGTCAAAGATCCAGCAAGCAAAATACAGGCAAGTTCAGATTGGGCTCTACGGCAAGTTGCGTAGGAAAGAGCAATCCCTACAGCATCTTCTCCCCCATGGGCCAACGGTGTAAGGTCCTTCAGACCAATGCAGGGCCCATAGCTGAAGGGTTGTAGACTGCCAGAGCATGGGGAAGTGCCAATGGCGTGGAGGATCTGGTAGGTAAAAGAGCCAATACACTCCTAGACTAAAGGAATAATTTAACACATTGCAGTGAGTTTTGATCTGTCAGGATTAGATGCGTTCTTCAGCCATTGCCCTAGCATGAGTAGTTTCGACAATGGATGGTGATCAAAACTAGTTTCCAATATAAAAGGCAACATGGTGACTTAGCCCTGTAATTCTGACGTTCTCTCTTTCTCCATAGGAGCTGAGCTGCGAGGACCAGGTGTGCAGACAACTGTACCGGCGAGTGCAGGAGGCCTGTTGACGTGTCCTCAATCTGTCTGGGTGCTGCCTGAAGACAAAAAAACAAGTGTTGGAACAATTATCTATGCAATTACTGTTATTCCCTGTTTGATATTTATTTTTTATAAGATTCCTGTATTGCTGTGTAACTTGTTATCGCAGTCATTGGGATAAAGAATTGTGAATGGTCTCCTGCAATTTAAAATATGTTTAAAGAAGGTGTATTTGCTTATTTTGAATTTTTAGAACTGCTGTATCATAAGGACACTGCAGATAAATGGCCTCATTGACAGGGTTGGATAAAGACTGTAACTGTCCAGTATTTGGCA